GTTTCATGATTTCAAGAAAAGTTTTAAACTAAACCCTAAGATAAGGCTGTGATTGAATTAAATATCAAACTTTCGGCAAACTAGTGGCAAACATTACCTGTTGCATATTGATTTGGTTAAATGTCTTTATCAAAAGGCACTGTTTGTGAGATGTTTATTTTAAAAGTCTAATAAAGAGCACCTTTTGCAAGATGTTTAAGTCTTAAGTGAAAAAAATCACTTTTTACCTGCTGAAACTTGGATATTTGGATAATGAGGAAAGACCCACTCATTCAGTTTCCCCATGGCAATGCCTATCAAAAATAGCTATGCATTACAATCACCAGGGAAACGTAAAAAAATATATACCAATGCCTCTGCCTCGATCTCCGGAGATTCCAAATCTTAGAGTAAGGACTCTGCATTAGTATTTTTTAATTCCCCAGTTGATTATAATGTGTAGTCATGACTGGGGCCCACTGCCCTATGAGGAAATAAACTATTTCTCCATACTGAAATTAATAAATCTAAACATAAATTATCAAAAATAATTAAGGGCACGGGAATCTAGAAGGCATAAAAAAACCTTACATTATAAAATTATTTCTTTAAATCACTGCTTATTATTACTATTAGTTAAAATAATCAACAGGAAATAAAGATGACTTCTCTGAAATATTGTCTATGGCATTTGATCTACAAATTAGACACTCAGTTATATTTATTAATTATCTATAACATAATATGCATTTTATATTAATAAATTATAATGAAAACTAAAGGAATAATTAGTTGGAACATTATCATCTATCTTTCATCTATCTGTCTGAGGTAGGAACATCTATTTATATGATAGATTAGAAAATAAAGGACAAAATATTAGATATGAAAATGATATGGTACTTGATTATCAATAATCAACATATTGTGTACTTCAATATCATACACATATAATTTGGTATCCTTAATTACTTTTGCTTATATGTATAGATAACTGTACACGAACACACATATTATATACTCATTCATTTATTTATGTAGGTATTCACTCCAAGGTCATCACAATTAAATCATACATTATATCTCCCTTAATCTTCAGAAGAACCCTAGGAGGTACATATTATTACTCACATTTTACAAACACAGAAAACTTGTACAGTCACAAAGTTAGTAAGTCAGATATATTAGAAGCTATTGCTGAACATATGTACACAAAAATTCAATACTTAATGGTAGACAGGCAATACCTCATCTGCGTACTGAATATAAGCTTTTGTCCTGTCTTAGAAACCTCTCTGCTGGAAGTCCTGAGAATCCAGATAGCCTACCTTTCAATTGTCATATAGGTGTATCTTAGTTTACAAAGATACTAAATTAATATAGATTCCGTGGTTCAATCCCAGACTTCTGAATTAGAATCGTTGCTAGTGAGACTTGGAATCTATTAAAAAAAAAAAAAAACTCTCATGTAATTCATATTAGATTCCAAGCATAGAAACATTGAATCTCATTGCGCATGGTTGAAATTAGTGAGTTTGGGTCTTACTGGTGCTCCATAAAAAGGGCAAAGAGACTTCATGGACTGAATGGATGTGTTCTTAGTTATAGTTTTCTTTCTAAGGATAAGCAGCCCAAGACCTAAGTCACCATATTCTGTTCCACTTCCTAATGATGTCCTTTCTTTGTGTGGGGGAAAAAAAAAAAAAAAAACACCTAAAAAAAGTTTTCTGGAAAAAATTTCTGTGCCATTGCTACCTTAAAATATGATAATATTTTACTTCCTCTTAGTCAATTCTAGAGTGCCTATGCTGCAAGTAAAATGTTTTAACTCAGAAATAGTGAAAGCAAATATTGTGTACTCTTTCAAAATAAGAAATTTCACGAAAGCGTGGTATAATTTTACTGTATCACCAGTTATTATATAACACCCAATACATGGTACAGTTCGTAGACCTAGTTTTAAATTCAATTCTGATAAGTAAACTGATTGGACTCTATTAGGGGAAAAGTTGAAGCACTAATATGGTCACAAATCTAATCTTCATTGCTATAAAATTTAATGCCTGTCTACTTCCTTTGTCCTAATGATGAGGCTAAATAATGTATATATTTTATTTACGTGTTCAATAATACTATGGTCTGTTCAGTGAATGATGCTCTTCTGCCACTTGGTGGTGCTTGCCAGTTTCAGAATTTGTTTCTTGTTGGCACTGTAACACTAAGTACAAAGTAAGCTGAACAAAATCATAGCATTCCTATTGGAAAGGCTTTGCTTCAAGCTGTTTAATAATTTAAAGAACCTCTGTGGAAGCAACTGCATTTGTTAACCAGTCACAACCGGTAATTAACTCCTTTGGAGTTTTAAGTTACTTTGGGCAAAATGTCTTAGGAAGAGTACATATTACTAGAAAGCATGCCAAAAATTTACTTAGCAGAGAATTCAATAACACTTTTATTCTACTAAGAGGTTCTGTAAAATTCTACATATATAGCCAAGCGTTGAAATTCTAGCATGTCCTGTTTCATTATCATAATTACTGCGTAAAACTCTTAAGGACTTTGCCTTTAGTTTCAAGCATGACTTATTCTCATAAGCCTTATTAGTTACCACACCAGCCTTGCCATGGAAAAAGACATGTTCTCAACTGAACCAGAGAGTCGTTAAATCTTGATCTATATTAAGCGTATGTTTACGTTGCCGTCTCTGCTAAAAGGGAGCAGTGAAAAGACATCTCTGATTCTTTTTTTTTTCTCTCTCTCCAGCATTGGCTGGCAGCTCTATCTAATGGCCATTCCGTTTCTGTAAAGAATTTAGCTGCGCTGTCTAGAAGCCGATTTTCTGATGCCTCCAACGTCTGGTCAAATTGATCTGTTTTAATGGAGTCTTCGTTGGTGAGGAGCGAGATGCCACCGACTAGAATGCTGGGATCTGCTGCTTAATTGCCAGGAGGGAGAGACACTGAGATTCAGAAGTCTTTGGAGGTGGGCGGAGGGGGGGGGGGCGATCTCCGGGCGGAGGCGGAGATGTACGATAAAGAAATGGGTTTCACACAAGAAAAAATGAAATTTCTTTGAGGCACTAAGGTGCTGCACGATCACATCTCTCAAAGGAGAAGTTAAAAAGCAAGGAAGTAGGAGGAGGTTAGAGGTTAAAATACTTAAAAGGGTAGCTCGGGTACAATTTGTTTTTCTGGCGGTGCCTGCAAAGGATAGATAGTTCCTGTTTTCAAAGCGTGTTAGTGCCTCTTTTAAGTGATTGGGGATGGACGCTAATTGCTTGAGAGACGCTATCAAACAGTGCTCTTCTAAATTCAGGTGACACTGAAGGAGGGGAGAAAGGCGAGATTTAAAAATAGGGGAAAAAAAGGAAGAGATGAGGGCTCTTAGAAAAGAAAAAAGAAGAAAGAAAGAAAGAGAGAGAGAGAGAGAGAGAGAGAGAGAGGAAGAAAGAATAACAGTAGGCAACTCATAGGCTATTATGGGGATTAAATGTGATAAGATAGGAAAAGGGAGAAAGAAAGAAAGAAGAAAGAGAGAAGAAAGAAAGAAAGAAAGAAAGAAAGAAAGGAAGGAAGGAAGGAAGGAAGGAAGGAAGGAAGGAAGGAAGAAAGAAAAAGAAAGAGAAAGAAAAAGAGGGAGGGAAGGAGGGAGAAATGAGGTTGCGAGGAGAGAAGGAAAAAAAATCCTGAATCACTGAACAATAACACGGAAAAGAAAACACTGAACAATCGCCTAGAAAAAGAAACTCGTCCAAAACACTGACTGCAATAACGACCTGAGTCAAGAGAGGAAGATGCACGTCTCCATCCTTGTCCCAGGAAGCTCTGGGTCCCGTTACTAGCGACTAAAATACCATAAGTCCTAAGAGTGTGTCTAACTGCGTTGAGAATGCAGCAGGCGGAAGGCGGGTCCCGCTATGCCATTTGCCCAGCGCCGGCTGGAGAGAAAGAAAGAAAGGCGCAGAGGGAGACTCCTGCCAACTTAGACCTTCTTGTATTGTCCAGGTCACTGACGATTGATCAGAGACCCGCATAAAGCGCCCAGGGCCACTACCCGCGCTGCCGAACTGAGCTGCTCTTCTCGGACGCGGCTTTCCGAAGGATGCGCCCGGTAGACCCATCCGTTGCAGATGCGGAGGAGCCTTCCCTTCCTCTCTGACCACTTGTCATGACCAAATCTAACCTTCGAAACAACATTTGCCCTCACTTCCCAGGCAGCCATACAAATAGGCTCCCGGCTGGAGATGAGCGTGTGATGACATGAGGAGAGGGCTTCAAACCTTCTACTCCTCGGGCTGGGTCAGGGGGCTAGGAAGAGCAGGGGAGAGGGAACAGGAAGAGAGAGCGCCTGGAAGGTTGGTTGAGCCAGCTAGAAGAGTAGCCGCAGGGTCGCAAGCTCTCGTGGGAACTGCTGCAGCTTCCAGGCAGGTCAGAGCTGTTCTCACACCACTGCCTCTCACCCTCTCCCGCTCCCTGCTACTCTCTAGAGATGTCCGTGGGCTCTCCCCAGCAATATTTCCAGCCTGTATCCGGTTACAGCCAGGCGGCGCGCTCCCGCACGCTGGAGCGCCGGGCGCCCGCAGGACGCCCTCTCCTCTGTGCCCGCTTTCCCCTCTTTGCCCTGCTGCTACAGCTTCTCCGCCACCTCCGCCCTCACCAGCTCCAGCTCTGAGAGACGCCACACAGCCGCGGCCAGCGCTAGCAGCCCGGGGTCACGCACAGCAGTGGGCGCCAGAGCATACCTAGCACTCGGTAGGGGGCGTCCTGGGGCGGAGAGTGAAAGGGCAGGTGGTATATAAAGGTGTGGGAGTCGCCCAGCCAGAAGCCTGCGCTTCTCACTTGAGTCTTCCCCGCTTAGCCCCATTCGGGCCAGCGCCTGGTGAGCTAGCCCATCTGTGGCATCCGCTGTCGCCTCCTCTTTGCACCTCCTCGCCGACCCCTCCCTCCCGGGACCTGCATCCCGTTCCGCCAATCAGCGCCGGACTGCTTCTTCCCACGTGATCCCGGGCGGGCTAAAGACCTGCTGCTTCCCAAACGCCAGAGGGATGCGGGCGGCAGAGCGCGAGAGGCGGCTGCTAGGCTGCGGGGCGTTTTGACTTTCCCTCCACCCTGCCTCCTTGGGCTTCTCTCCTCTGCCCCTGGACTCCTGTCTCCTGCTCCCCCGTCATCCCAGAGCCCCCTCCTTATGGCAGTAGCTTCCCACGTCTCCAACGTTGCTTCTCAGTGGACGACCCTCTTGCTGCCGGGGCTAAACCGGGTCCCTGGATGTTGCTGAAACTCCTGAGATCATGCGCGGGTTTGGCTGCTGCTTCGCCATCAGGTGCCACTGCCACCGCCGCTGCTTCTGCTGCCGCCGTCCGCGGGATGCTCAGTAGTCCACTGCCCGGCCGCCGCGATAGTGTGTTCTTCGGAAGCCGTTTGCTGCTGCAGAGTTGCGCGAACTAGTCATGATGCTGTGGGAGTCCCCGCGGCAGTGCAGCAGCTGGACACTTTGCGAGGGCTTTTGCTGGTTGCTGCTGCTGCCGGTGATGCTACTCATCGTAGCCCGCCCGGTGAAGCT